GGGGTGGGGCGGGGCCTGGCGCGGTCCGCTGCTGCAGCCGCGCGACAAAGCGCCGTGATATGAGAAGGGACACGGGGGAGGAGCAGCTTGGCTGGGGCCGAAACTCAATATCATCGTGGCGGACCTGCTCCGTATTAAAACTCCGCGCCTTGCCGCGGCCGCGCTACACCACCCGCGGGGAGCGTGCCCCTCCCCCTCCTCTACGACGACCCCAAAAAGTTGCCGTTTCCTTTTTCTTTTCATCGCGCTCCACCACTGTCTGCGCGAGCCTCGGTCCCAGCAGGAGCTGTACGTGACCACGGCGTCAGCCCGAGTCTGTGTTGCGCGGAGAGTTGGGCCGCAAAGTTATTACACAGCAGACGACACGGAGCAGGTCCCACCCCGGACACTCCGAGGACTTCCAAACAACCGATATAAAAAGGCTGTCCTGGGGCGGGAGGGACTCAGTCCCTGGACTGCATCCGCCGGCCGGAAGCGTTGGGCGCCGCCAACACCGCCGCTGTTGTCCGCCTCTCACCGCCCCCGGCCCCGCCCCGGCAACCCTCCCCGCAGTGGCCGCTTATTCACACGCGTTGGGTGGGACTTCTTTTGCTCGCGATACATTTGGCATAATGGCCTGTGTGTGTGTGTGTGTGTGTGTGTGTGTGTTTGTGTGTGTGGAGGAGGAGCCTGCTGTGGGTGGCTCTTTGCGGAAGATGAGATGTAAGCGCAGTGCGGGACTGGAAGTTGGGCCCTGTGGTAGGTTTCCATAATTATTCAGCAGTGCACTAGTAAAAGATGCTTATACGGTATGAATTTCAACGTTACGGTAACAAACTGTGTTCCACTGTTGCTCGGGTTTTGTGCATTCAGCTGTACGAAATCATGCATTTTTTGCGCACAAATTTGTTCGAAAAGAAACGTAGGTTTAATCATACAGAAAGTTCCGTTATTCGCCGTTGCCAATGCAATAAGCTCACATGGCGCCTGGTGGGTAGGCAAAACGTTGCCTGCAGGGCATGCGTGTAGTGCGGGGTGGCCTACCCCGAGTCTCGCAGGCGCCGAGCTCCTGTGTAATTTGGCGAATGTATCTGAGGAACTAAGTCTACTTTATGGACGGCCCCTCATGTAATAATATATTATAAGACAGTATTCGGGGCTGACAATCAAATGGTAGGAGGCAATGCTCGTTGCCACGCCCCAGCGCCAAGCGAGCGTGAGGCCCACGGCGCCCGGCCGGTAGGCAGTGCAGTGGCGCGCGCGCGCGGCGGGCCGGCCCACCCGCCGGGCGCTGACCGTTGGGAGGGGCGCGCGAGTGCAGCGCAGCGCAGTGCGTTGGTTAAACGTCTTTTAATCGAAGAAAGAAAAGGAAAGAAAACAAAGTCCTCTCAGTGCTGCGCGCTGCTGCGCCGCTGGTCGGGCGAGAGGGCGGGTACAGGACACAAAGCGGGCCGCCGCCATCACGCCGGCTGACCGGGCTGATTCGCAAACGGTTCCTCATCGCGCGCCGAGTCGAGAGCCGTGCGAGGAGTAAGGAGCGCACTGAGAGTGCCTCTCGAGCTCCGGGCAGGTGACTCCTTGGCGTGCCCCAATAAAGCGCGAGGGGGAAAGAAAGGCCTCCTCCGGACCCTCCGCGTCGCTCCGCGTCGCGCGCGAGCTGCTAGGCGCACTTGACGAGGCGGCGACGCTCTTGTTGAGGTCGGAATGGACACCAGGTCGGTAGCACAGCGCCGCCACAATCCGCCACTCGCTTTTATCCTTTCTAACCGTTCGTTTCCCCCTCCTCGTGCTCGCTCCATTCGAATTTAAATAAATAAGAGAACGGCGAATTAAATAAAATGAAAAGGAATTGAATTAGTATCCATTCGACTGGGCATCATGGTGCGGCGCGGCCACGGCCGGCTGGTAGTGTGTGTGTGTGTGGGGGGGGGGGGGGTCCTCGGTGTCCCGGTGACACACAGCACCGAACTGCTGCTGGAGCGGGGAGTTGTTTAGAGTGACACGAGTCCCTGCCTCGCCCCCCTCCCCCGCCCACAAGCTCCATCCCTTACGAAACGCGGGAGGGAAGGACAGTAGTGAGGGGTGAATTGGGGGAGGGGGGGGGGAGAAGAATAACCGGCGCGCGAGAAAATGAGACAAAGCGTCAGGGAGAGGAGCGTATACGCGAATGCGCGGTGCGGAGGCACGGCAAAAGAGAGAAGCGATATGACGGAAAGGGGCAGGAAGGGAGGGGGAGAAAGGACGTGGCTGTCTGGTGTATAAATGTGTGTGTGTGTGTGTGTGTGCGTGGATGTTAAATGGACGCTTATGCCATCGTCGAACTAAACTGCTCGCGAGGTGCTTCGGGAGGGAGCGACTCGTATGTGTGTGTGCGTGTGTGTGCGAGAGAGAGAGAGAAAGAGGTGGAGCCAGCCATAAGTAGCCACTTAATTCAATAAATGACGTTCCCTCCCTGCCGACCCCGCCCCGCCCTTCCATCACGGCGAGCCTCGCAACGGGCCGGGCGGCCCGGTCCGTGGGACAGCTGGCTCCGGCTAGACGAGTCATCGCGGTCGTGGCGGGCCTGCGAGCGTGGGGCGGGCCGCCTGGAAAGTACGGCGAAATAAGTAGCGACCCGCGCTGTCAAAACCTCATGGACTGATATGAGTCGAGGCTGAACCGGTCTTGTCTCGAGTCTTGTTCGTCAAACTTTTGAGGCATATGACAACTCGACGTTTATAGATCTTTTGATTTTTTTTTGCAATGGTTTTGGTCGGAGGCAGGGTATGCTCCGTTGCTCCGTGCCGAGGTGTGTGGGGGGGCGGGGGGTCTGTAGGACGGCGTGTCCTTCAGCAGAGCAAGTTTGCGACTCGCCGCGCCGCCGCGTTGGGGGCCGCCATTGTGAGCCGCTGCTGCTCGCGTCGGTCGTCCCTCCCCGTGCGCGGACAGGACAGTCAACTTTCCATCATCATGATTTTAAACGGCCATTTACTCGCTCCTCCCCCTCGGCCCCGCTGCTCCCCTCCCCCGCACGCCGCGCCCGGCCAGATGCACCGCGCCGTGCCGTGCCGTGCCGGTGTGTGTGCAGAGGGTGTTTGCTGGGCCTCGCCCCGCCACCTTACAAGGGCTTTAATCGCCTCCGCATTCAGGCGGACCGAGTTTGCTCTCCCCCCGTGTCCGGCCCCGTCAGAGCCGCCCCGTCCTTCTCACTCGGCCGTCAACATCCGCCGCGCCGCCCTTCGCCCACCCCCAGAGATCTCAAGCCTCCTATGCTGTTGACTTCGTTCCTGGAATGTGGCCCTTTATGATATGCCAGCCCCTCTCCCCTCTCTCC